TGTGTGTGTGTGTGTCTCCTGTCAGATCATCATAGAGAAGAGTCCGACCGCAGTGGCTGCTGGGAAAAGTCACTTCAACATGAAAGGCAGTCCGGTGGAGGGGAGAGACATTTGGGACGTGAAGAAGCTTCTGGAGGTAACGGCCGGCGTTTGTTCTTCTTCAGTTTGATGTTTGACTGAACGAGTTCGACTCTGAGGTCTCCACCCGGTTTGTGTCCCTGCAGCAGTTCAGCATCGACATCGCAGAGAAAGCCGCCAACGTCTGCCTCGCTCACCTCTTCACCTATCAGGACTTTGACGAAGGCACTCTGGGTCTGGCCTACGTCGCCCCGTCCAAACCCGACATCCCCGGAGGTCTCTGCTCCAAAGGTAAAGACCTGCTGACTCGTCACCGTCCCCGAATTCTCTTCAGACGTCAGTCAGAAAGAATAACTCTGTTTTTATTCTTCTCAAGCTTGTCCTTCGTCTGCGAACGAACAGAAAGTGATCTACCTGAACACGGGCCTGACCAGCACCAAGAACTACGGGAAAACCATCCTGACGAAGGTGGGTTGGTTCTTTTTCCTTATTGTCAACACAGATAATGAACCGTCAGTCAAACCTTCAGATTCAGCCGATAAACACAGAACCACAGCAGCCTCATCGGTGTCGCTCAGGGTTTAAAACCTTTATGAATACAGTTTAACACGTATTTTACATCCATACTGGCAGAAAAAATGATTGTAGATTATTTAGCTATTTAAGATATTTTAAGACCTACAATTCAGATTATTGTATTTTAGACTTTATAATCACAAAAGAGCTAAAACTTGTGCAGCTGAATATAAAAGTCTAATCAGACACATAAATCAATCATAACCAATAATCAATAATCAATCAAAGTTGTGGTGGTGTTTGTTAAAAGGAAGAAATACGTTGATTTAAGAGTTAATGTTTCTGGCGTCCACAGGAAGCCGACCTGGTGACGACTCATGAGCTCGGTCATAACTTCGGGGCAGAACACGACCCCGACAACATCCCGTACTGCGCCCCCCGAGAGGACCAGGGGGGGAAATACGTCATGTACCCCATCGCAGTGAGCGGAGACCACGTCAACAACAAGGTGCTCGGCTCGTTTGTCGTCGACGCTCTGAAGGTTTGAAGGTCAGAAAGATAAATAAAGTCTCTGCTGTGTCTCCAGATGTTCTCTAACTGCAGTAAGCAGTCCATAGTGAAGCGTCTGAGGACGAAGGCGCCGTCCTGCTTCAAGCAGAGGAACATCAACGTGTGCGGTAACTCTCGGGTGGAGCAGGGCGAGGAGTGCGACCCGGGACTGCTGCACATCAACTCGGACCCCTGCTGCACCACCGACTGCAGGCTGAGAGCCGGAGCTCAGTGCAGGTCAGAGCCGATCGGCTGCAATCAATACTGCTGTTCCTCATAATGCAGCAGTTCAGTTCTTAATATTTAAATACACTGAACAAGAGTTTAATTGTTATCAATCCGTTTAAAGTTGGTCCAGTACTGAGACGGCTGCCAGACTCCATTTAGAAAAACACTAACACTTTCTCCTTTCCTGTACTTACATAAGCTATAATGTGCTAATCTGTGTTTAAAAGACAACAACATAGATTAAAATATAATAAGTATATAGTTTTGTAGTGTATAGTTTTTTTTATCAGATGTAAGTTAGTTGGCAGGTTTTGCTCATCAGCTCTTTGTCTCTGTGTTCAGCGACAGGAACAGTGCGTGCTGTAAAAACTGCAGGTTCGAGTCTGAAGGTGAAGTCTGCCAGGAGCCCATCAGCGCCACCTGTAAAGGTCACTCGTACTGCACAGGTCAGCTCACAGGTCAAAGGTCATGTAAGATAATTAAACGGCCGCCCGGCTTTTTGTGACTGTGTGTGTGTGTGTCGACAGGAAACAGCAGCGAGTGTCCGCCACCGGAGAACGCGCCGGACCAAACCGTGTGCCTGGACAGCGGCGAGTGTCTGAACGGAGAGTGTATCCCTTTCTGTCAGGCTGTCCTCAAACTGCAGCCGTGTGCCTGCAACGGTACACACACTTACACACTCTTACACACACTAACACACTCCTACACACACTAACACACTCTTACACACACTAACACACACTAACACACACACACACACACACTCTTACACACACTTACACACTCT